TAATACACAGAATTTCCACAGTCAATACGTTTGCAATCTCGATAACAAAACACACACTTTATATTACCGTCACTACCGCTCGGTTGACTCAATTATCTGTCTCCATATCTATCTATCTGCAATCATCTCTTCGCTTTATTTGCCGGGCTTATATACTAAAAAAGAGGGCGCCTGGAACAGACTAGAGTTGCCAGGAAAAGTCAAGATTCTTCGAGAATCTCATCACGTGTTGCCAGTATCACGTGACTTCCGCTGTCGTAACACTAAGAAACTTCAAAGGTATTCGATTTCACCGTATTCTATTACGAATTTTATGAAGGAAACTAAGATACTGGTAAGGCGCTTTTTCTAACCACTCCACGGGTTCTGTAAACGCGCTTTAAGGGCATTAAACTACTGCATTGCCAAGGATATTGGACTTATATTACAGCATTCCGAGCACATACTACTTGACTCTCAAATTATATTACTAAACTTTTTGAGTAGAAAAGACAATTTGAAATCTTTCAGTAAAACAAAAAAGCGAAGTCAAGAGGCACGTATACCTAGAAGTACAAAAATGTTTTTATACATTTCAAATCTAAACTTTTTCCTATGGAGCTGGTTTCGAAAATCAAAAACGAGAAAATAATTTCCAACTGAAAAACACAACCAATGCTGTGGGAGGGAAACAATCGATTCTGTTTGTCTATTCCAACAAGAAGTCCAAAGTAATGGCAGTCGATGGAAAAAATATGCTGTTTAGATCCTACACTAGCATTGATCACATTTGGTCGAACAGTATGCCGCGTTTCGTCTAAAGAAAAACAATAGATAGCTGGATCTAAACTAATCTTCGGATGGCGAAACATTTTTTTTTAAAGTGCAATAGCCAATTTGACGAGAAAACATGCAGAGCCACAAGTGTCAGTCAATGCTATAAGAAACTCCCCATTCTAATAGAATTCAAATTATCAAACCATTCAGTAACAGGAAAGAATTATTCGAGATATGAAGCATCATCTATTATTTTGGTTTATAGAGGGCACTGTTTATCAAGTAGAGAAGAATACACAACCTTCTAGACTTTCAACACAAAACGTCTTTGCTTGTTTCACCCCGTGTTTTCACAAAGAAAGAGCATAAGTTATCGAATTTTTTAGTTTTTGATTATAAAATTGTGTCTTAATAATGTTTCACTGCTTACAAAGCGATATAGGTATATTTCTAAACCTACCCAAGAAGCCTGGATTTTTCCCTTCGTAAAACTTGTAGTCAGTTAAGGCTTATCTTTTTTTTACTAAACACAGTTATCTTGGTACTTGATTTTAACATCATAAAAACAGTAGTAAAGTGGATTGTATCTGGAAAACTCCTTAGTATTTAATTACAGTTCTTTAGCATTTTACCAGATAAACGTTACTAACACTAATAGATTTGCTTCACGCTTTACAGACTCTCAGAGTCAATCAATGTGTTTTGGTCACGTATTTTGAAAACAGTAAGTAAATTGTTTAACTATTTATAAATCTTGTAGTTAATCAACGAACGTTTTTTTTTTCTCTGAGGAATACAAATAGTGCGTAATTTGTTTTACAGTTTCTATACTCTCTGAATTAGTTCATAAACCACACCATATAATATATATATGTAATATAATAGTGTGGAATTTATGTTACAATTTATCAACTCTTGGAGTTAAGAAGAGTGCTTGGTTTATAAACCCTGCAAATAAGTTGTAATTTGTTTTATAGTTTATAAACTCTCAGAATCAAGAAGTTGTTTTGTTCATAAACCGTACAAATAGTGTGTAATCTGTTTTACAGTTTATAAACTCTCAGAATCAAGAAGGTGTTTTGTTCATAAGCCGTACAAATAGTGTGTAATTTGTTTACAGCTTATAAACTCTCAGAATCAAGAAGGTGTTTTGTTCATAAACCGTACAAATCGTGTAATTGTTTTACAGTTCATAAAATATTGAAATAAAGAAGGTGTTTTGTTCATAAACCGTACAAATAGTGTGTAATCTGTTTTACAGTTTATCAACTCTCAGAATCAAGAAGGTGTTTTGTTCATAAACCAGATGAAAATTTCAATTTAATTTTGAACAAGTTTTAACTGTTGTTTAGAATTTTCAAAAAAATCTACATAAGGGCTATCTAATCAAAGCAGTCCCTAATTTTGAACTTACTACAGGAAGGCAGCTAGTATAGCAGCACCCATCACTAACACTAGGGATACTCTTATCTGACCCAATAGTGGGATTTGATCATCAATATTATAGCGTACTCACGGCCTCAAAAAGTGGAGCTAGTTTTTTAGGCAACGGGATCTGAACAAAGATACCTCGGATTCACAGTTCAGACACGCTAACCCCTGGGCCAAACTTGGACAGAACATATTTTAAACGTATTGGTTGAAGCTCTCTGTATACAGGTATGTGTGTGTGTGTGTGTAAGTGTATTTAAGCCACAAACATAAAAATTGCATACAATAAAAAGATATAATTAATGATTTCAACACAATAGTTTTGAAGGTAAGTTTCTTAAAGTTTATCTTCGATTTTTGTTTAACGAAACCACGTGTAGCTAGCTAGCTTTTTGATAACTTAACATCACAAAGGAATTACGTTAAATAAAGGTATGGTCGAGAGCAACAAAAAGGGGGGGGGGGACATAAAACATATAAACACTATTATAAAGAATTCCACTGTGGCGACATTCAGTTCATCAGCATTAATCAACTAATGGTGTGCTCATTTAAATAATGACTCATTCATTCGACGAAGAAGAAATATCGTCCAGCAGGGAATTCCCACTTTTAAATAATGACTTATTATTCCCACATTTAAATAATGACTCATTCATTCGACGAAGAAGAAATA